TTATTAAGCTACGTGCCAGTAATTGTCATTTAATGATAAAGACCTTCAGCGTGGTCTTTATTTCTTTCTTTGATTCCATCTGGAGTCAAATGATTAAGATGCAATGATCTGGGTCAGTATCATTAAGAATCGCATTTAGGCTGCAAACAAACAGCCATGTTCCCCAGACGACCACTGGAACGCAGCAATACGGAATCACTTCCACCAGAGCAGCGATCCAACTGCTGAAGATACTTGGTTTGGAAAAGAGATAACCGGGGAGGGCTCTAAGAGGAGCCTGTAAGGTCACTACTGGCATGCAGAGACTGAACAGGATACTGTGGAAGCCAAGAGTAGAAAATGAATTCAGAAAAGAGAATTCACAGGGGACTGGTCAATCTGACAGTCTTGGATACATTCCTCACTCAGGAAGCTGCAAATCGCTGATTTTCCGGGATCAGCAAATTTGACCTAAAGAGAAGTTCACTCCATATTCTCCCAGTTTCTTTCTCTTCTTTCTTTGCCTGAGCACTTACTTGATAACTGGGGAATGCTGTACGGAGCTGGATGGATCTTTCGTTTGACCTAGTGTAGTCCTGCTTACGCTCTGAAGTTATATCCTGCACGGCACAGCACCATTTGTGAAGAACATTTACACAGCTTAGAGAAATATCAGCTGCCTGGAGTGCAGCCATCCTACAAAATGTAATGAAACACTATAACCTAACACAAAATCCTATGAAATGGTAAAACAAACAAACAAAAAACCCCCAAAACAGTTTCTACTTCAAAGATACTCTAAATCAGTTTTAGGATTTTTTTTTGGTGCGAAACCTGATTTAATTTCCATGAAAAAAATTTGACTTTATCCTTATCTAATTCTGCAAAACTCCGTAAAAAGGATTTTTTTAATGGATCCCATATTCCTCCAGGCTCTCTGCACAGCCCTAAAAATAGAAAAATAAAAGAAAATCTGACTACAGGGGATTTAACGCGCCAAGGACGTAGTTTGAGGTTGGCACTGAAACATTTGCTGTTTCCAAATGAGTTAGACAGGAAATTTGTTCACTCTCCCCCTATTCAGTTTCACAACAAACCCTGGACTGAAGACCCTGTAAAGGAACTTGCTTCCCCTGTAGAGTCAAAGCACATCTTACTGCTGCTCCTTCCTAAAGGTTATGCAAAAATTTTGGACTGCACCGCTGTAACCCGAATGCTACAGTTGAAGCTCCTGAGAATAATCCAGGAGAAACTGCCAACAGGGCTGCAGCTCTCGCCTATGGACTAGCTGCCATGAGGGGAGAGAGGCCGCCCGCCTCGCATACGCGCGGTCCACCAAGCGGGAATGCTTTGGCCACTCTTTACATTTGGATTTTAACGCCCACTAGGATCAGGATCTAAATACCCAATCTAAACGCAGCTTTTAAAGCACAGCCACTCCCCGCAGAAAGGAGAGTCCGTCCACAGCCTCATCCCTTCCAGGGACCATGGCTAATTCCTCCCTACAAACCACACAGCAGTGCCGGGAACACGCAGGGGACATGAGGGGACAGCCGGAACAGGCCCCACGGGGCTGGCAGGGCTGCAGCAGGTCTTGGGACAACCGTGCAAGATGTGTCCCCCTCGCTGTCCTCCTCGTACTGTACCTCAAGGGGCCTCACTCCCCTCTGGAGACTTGAATTAGGCGGAGGAGGACAAGGCTGGGCCTCGCTCCGAGCAGCCCCCAGGAGCAGGGGGCGGCAGTCTCGCGCAGCAGATGTTCAGCTTCACGCTGGACCCAGCGCAGTCATTTCACCAAACCTTCATCTCACTAAGCAAACTGCAGGGTACCGGGGATGTCACAACCCACGGCCAGAACAAGCTGTATCCAAGCCTCCCTTCAAGCAAAAGCGGGTGCAAATGTCAGCCAATTAAGCTTTTTCCACCTACACTGCACCAGCTCCAAAAGCCGAACGGGATCCCAACAGAGCTCTCCGGGAAGTCTGGCTTCGGCAGATCTAAACCCTTTATTTTAAAATGTTACAAAAAACAGCAGGGCTGCGTGGGTGCCCCGAAGCCACCCTGTGAATATTAACTGCTTGCACGTGTCGAAGATAATGGTCTCTCCAGCAGCAAAGGCTCTTCTTCTTGGTTAGTGAAAAGGGACGCCCTCGTATTAATTTAAGGTTTAAATTTGGAAGGGAGGGAATTTTTAAAAACCCTCATTAATACAACGGTCATTAAAGAGTTTTCTTTCTTTTTTTTTTTTAATGTAAATCACATACTTGCAGAGAACTCATGGATAAAGCATTATTCCCAAACATGTACGGCCGCGATTCCAGCTCCTCCTTTTCATCACACATGCAAAGACGTGTTTTTCCAGCAGCAGTGGTCAGCACACCACGGGAGTTTTAAGTCACTGGTTAACTTGAAGAAAACTTAGCTCATACACCGAGCGTGATGGTACAACTACGGCTGTAGATAAATGGGTTTGATTCAGGAACCCAGTCCAAGGCACCATCCCGCTGCCCTGGTCTCAATGTCTCAGCTCTTGGGGACTCTGGGGCAACTGCACAGCTCAAGAACCACCCGTAATTGCCTTTTGGGACCTCCCAGTACTTTAAGCATCAGGGCAGGAGAGACTAAATGATCATGGGAGTATCTCACCAATGACTTCCCCAAAAGTGAAAAAGGCATCAGCAACTACAACCCCAAAGCCCTGTGAGGATGGGCAACAGTGATCAGGGCAGACACCTCAACCCTCGCTTTAAGGCTAAACTAAGTGACTTCGAACAAGTTTCTCAAAGTCCCCAGCTTCCTCTCTGCATTGCTAAACAAAACAGGGGCAGTGGCCAATAGCTGTTCCAGAGGAAAAACTGACTGTGTCTGCACCAGGCCGCACTTCGTGTGGGTCACCTCTGTGTGGTGTCCCTATGACACGCTGCTATTCTGGGAGGAGGAGCAGGGCATGGACATTCACAATTGCAGACTTAACATGGAAGTTTTTCTTCAGGCCACTACATTGTTTTTAGAGCATGAAACTGAGGGCGTTTAATGCAGGCTCTGGGGCAATGCGCCAGCGGGGTCACCAAGAATATGGGGCCCCATGAGAAAGTTCTGGCAGACGGGGAAGGGCAGCGGGAAGGGCAGCGGGAGCCAAGGAATACCAGGGGCAGGGCATGCCGAGGTGCTGCAGGACTGGGGATCACACTGGTGGCCCCACAAGGTACAGAGACACCTTAGTAACTTCCCGCCCCTCCACCTCATCCGAAACCGCCTAATGAGCCTCACCAAGGAACTGATCCCTTTATTCCGTGTGCAAATTTGTACATCCCCTTCACTCCTACCTATCCAACACATAATGAGAGTCATTTCCCTAAACTTCCTAAAGGTAGGTCTGGGCTAACATGGAAATCATTGCTGACAAAGTGTCTTGTATTTACTGCTTGCCACTAGGATTAAAGACTCGGAAGGAATTCTGGCTTTTCCAGAGCTTTAATTTGGCTGGTTTTACTCGTGGCAATAATAATCACCGCCGAGGCTCCCTCCTCATGGCCACTGCCTCCAAGCGCAAGAGATGATACATTTAGTGAAACCAGCCCACAAAGCCATTTCGCAGGGCAGAGCTGAGGCCTCACAGAGTGGAAGGCAAACTCCTGACTTCCACGAAGTGCCTCAGAGGGAACCTTCTTAGCAGCAGTAAGCTTCGAGAAGGGAAAAAAAAATGCTTCTCTATTCACCAATGACAGTGCTCTCTTTTTCTTAAATACACTTGAAAGAGGGCTGGGAGGCAGCAGTTGCACTTAACAATCTTTAATGAAAGCTGCTATGTTTAGGCCTTCCAAGTAACATCCTTTTTCTTCCTTCTCCTCTTGTTTATTTTATCCTGTGCTGTCTTGCTGGAGCACCAAAGAGTTGCTACGCTAGTGCTGTAAAAATATCTTCCAAAATGCAGAGTTGATTTTGAAGTACAAAGCTGCAGTTGTGGGACACTGCAGCATCTGCTTTAGGACGTCATTTTTATATTTAGCAGCAACATATAGCTTCGTAGATGAGGAGCAGACAGAAACCCACTGAGCGAGCCCTCGATGCTGGAGATGGGCTTTTTTGTTGCTTTTTGGGGCTGTTATTCTGTTTTTTTCCCCCTTGGGTCACGGTGTATACACTGCATGACACACGTACTGAAAGATGCGATAAAATCAGCAGACGTGCCATTTAGGGCACTGCTCTGACCCGCATGGTCAGACGGTTTGTCTGTGGCCCCCGGCCATATTTCTGCACAGATGCCCACAGCGAGAGAGCAGTTAACGTGAAAGATGTCACAGGCGGCCTCTCCCCCTAGGCAGCTGGATCACTGCTCTGAGAAGGTCTAGCACGCAGGACAAATGAGGTAAAAATGAGTGAAATATGTCTGCGTGTACACGTCATGTGTGACCTGCACAGGTGGATGGGATTTGCAGCCCCTTCTGTTTTTCCCCTGTAAGAGCAGGCTGCCACGTACGAGCAGGAACGCTCTTGGCAGCACAAGGCAGCGCAGCGCAGCCTGATCAGATATAGCACAGCCAGACAAAAACAGGGCAAAAACCTAACACAGAGACAGCCAAAGCAAGGGTCGCAGGAGTAGCCACGAGCGCTAAGGACAGCGCGCGCCTGCGGGGAAAAGGCACAGGAGGGAGAACCAACGCGTGTGAGCTCCCTAAGAGGAGCCACCAGTTTTGGCACCCACCCTGAAAACAAAGGCACTGTCAGCATTGCAAAACATACAGGCAAATCTTTAGCTGGCATTCTGCAAATTCATCTTTTCCAGAAAATGGAAGGGTAGAAAAGGTCCCAACATACTCACGGATAAGGAACAGAACATTAATAGGAGTGAGACAGTTCCTGAGGCCACTGAACTCAGCTCTCCTGAATACGGTTCACTCTGTTCCCCATGTTTGGAAGAGAGATGTTGGATGAAACCAGACACTAGAAGCATCCAGAATATCTCTGTCTACAAAAGGAGCTTAGCAAATGTCAATTTACTGAGAATAAAATTGCCTTACCTGAGTAGTTTTCGCCCTTCTGCCCTGCATGCTGTTACTATGGCTCATCTGCGGGTTGCTGGCCCCTTCCGAAAGGCAGTGAGATTTCCTACAGGGGAGCGTGTTGTAATTACTGTAGGATGGGGCATCCTCAGCAGTGACCGATGCCATCTTATGGTTCCCGAGATCAGGGATATCGGACATTAAATTCCGACAGTAGCTGCCAAAGGCATTCCGCGGGCCTCCGTTGACGGCAGCGCCTGGGCCTTTGGGGGAATACAGGTCGCTCATGGAGTTGGCGCGCTGGCAGGGCAGCAGCTGCTGGGGGCTGCCGCTGGCCTCCGTGCCGCGCGCCGCCTCGCCATCCTTCTCCTCCGCCAAGCCCAGGATCTCCTCGTTGCTCGTTAAATGCTCCTGGCTGAGGTCGGAAAGCGAGAACTCCAGGCTGTCCTCGCGCCAGATGTCTGCGGATTTGGAGCGCTTTTTCTTGAAGCTGGCGGTCTCCGCGAAGCTCGTCCCGTTGGCCGCGTAGCGGTGCGGCCTGCCGTCGCCCTCGGCCAGAAAGGTGGCCTCATCCGCGTAGAGCCGGCCCTCCTCCGAGTCCGGCATGCTCTGCACGGAAGCCGCCGTGAGCACGGTGCTGCTGTCCACGCTGGGAGTGACGGAGGAGTCGGTGTGGTAGGAGACGGGCCGCAGGCCCATATCCATGCGGTCCACCCAGATGGGGCTCCCGAAGTCCTCTAGATTGGCTTCCTGCACAAACGGCTCCAGGCCATTCTCCGCCAGCGACTGGGGGATGCTGGGGGTGCTGCTGGAGCGGGTGCTCACCTCGGAGCTCCTGTGGATGGCTTTGCCCGACGACGCGTGCCTCGTGCGGCGCGAGGCCTTGTTGGAGAGGCGCAGCGAGCGGGACGTGTGCTTGCGGCCCAGGCTGGCGTGCTTCTCCCCGTAGAAAGCGTGCTCTACGCTCTGGCTTTCCGCGTTTCCCATGGCCTCGCGCTCTGCAAGGGGAAAGAGCAGGAGCCGTTAGAGCCGGCACGGAAGCGCGCGCAGAGCAAACGCGCGCGTCGCGCTGCGTGGCGGCCGCTACCGAAGAGGGGGGGTCTGCAAAGACGGCCTGTCCCACGCACGCGGGCGCAGCGCTGCTCAGTCCCGCTTCCCCCGCGCGCGCACCGATGCTGCAGCTGCTCCTGCATCTAGCAGCACTTGCTGCAACAGCAGTAACTAATCCAACGGTGGTTAATTAGGGGAGCCACCAGCCGCGCCAGTAAACGTATAAATATAATGCAATTACTTCTGTACATGGGAAAAAGGCAAAGCGCATTGCTATGCTGGTATACATGAGGAGCAAACCTTGAAGACTGCTCTGAGTTGGAGTCAGTTTATCACGGAGGCACACTGGTAATCTCCGCTTTGCATGCAGTCATTGACTATTAACGGCAATTAGTTAATCCTCCACAACCGTAGCCAGCACTAGGGAGTCAAAAAAGTGACAGCTCTTGTGCACTTGCACGCAACAAGCTGCCAGAAGGATAAATGCCTTGTCTATGATTTTACTTTTTCACCAGGAACTCCAATTCAGAGCACCAAATAGCAAAGTACAAGCTCAAGTATTCAGCAGTAAACTAATGATAGGTTTAATTTCTGGAACAAAAAATAGTGCAACACTAATCAGGTCCTCCCACAAGAAAACCATATTATGAAAAATAAATTAGCATGAGTGACTCAGACTATATAAAAATAACCTTTCCTTCCCACTCACTCTGAAGCAGATAGCTAGATCTAAGCGCTTTGATCTAGCAAAGAGAAAACTCAGCCTGAACTGAGGGGCATGAGCCCCATCTCCGTCTCTAACGCCCAGCATTAAGTTGTGCAAGGCCCTACATGAAACAGTTTCTCTCTATAGAAAATGAGAGCAATGATCAGGATCAGTTTTGGAAAATATTTTGCAAACTTTGATCCTACTTGGCAAGCATCAGAAATGTTTTATTTGTAGTATTGGCTCTCTTTGGGCAAAGAGCAGACGAAAAGCAAAAAACGTAAATGTTAAAGTGCACTGCCATTCAAAATTAAATAAGAGAGATCCTGAAATGCACATAAGAATTATATCTGATGAATAAATCCATAAATCTTTAACATAAATTCCAAGCCACATCCTTCTGGTTTTGATGTTGTTCTAGTAATCTTGATTTAAAAAATGCCGCCTTGATAGCAAAATAATCTCTTTTTTATTTCTTGGGACAGATTCTTTTTAGGGCAGTTTCTTCTCCTTCTGCAGGACATGCCAATTTTTCGAGCCGGCTGCTCCCGCAGTGAGTGTGTTCACGCGCGCTGCTCCTCCCCACCCAAACGCGCGCTGTCACCACCGCGCAGACCGAACGAACCCCACACAAATCACACGGAAAGTGATGAATCAATTCTGTTAAACGTAAGCACAGCAATTCTGATTTAGGCTCTTCTGGCCCATATGGTAGAGTTGAACTTCTGCAGTTGTATTTCTGAAAACAGTCAGAGGACGACACTTCTCAGCTCTCCTATCCCGCTAAGTAGGCCATATTTGAGGCTAAAAATCTGTTCAGCACTAGAGCAACAAGCACCTCCAGAAATATCTATATGTTGCTGTATCTAACATAAATATAATCCTATGTCAAGTAAAGTGTACCAGGAAACACCCTACGCCTACTGAAAATAATGGCTGAACTCCCATTGACTGTCATGAGGTTTGGGTAACATGCATCTTCCAGACAGAGAAACGCACTGAACACAGGACAAGTTTTAATCTAAGAAAAAACAACAAAAACAAATGACAGCATTATAAATCCACAGGCAGAATTCTTTACTCTTTAAAAGAAATAGTTCTTTGATACAAGCTGCACTGAAAACCAAATTTCAGTGAGCTCTTACTTCTAAAACATTTTAAAGCAACTCAGGGTAGCACAAAAACCGCATTTTGCCTTCTGCTGTCTAAAACCAGAGCTCAGCACTCCTAGCCTTGCAGAAGAAAGTCTCCTGGGGAAGGGCTTTTAGCTGCTCCGACTCCAAAGCTCTCGCTAACCACACTTCCATTTGCAAAGATTTCCACCAGCTGCAAAGCCCATCATCACACGCAGTCACTTTCCCCGTCTCAAGACACGCAACTATTTTTTGCTATCAATTTAAGGAGAAACAGCATTTTTAACAGTTCTCTGTGAAACATGAATGATCAGAAAGTGCCTCGTTACCTCCAGAGTGTCCCTGGCGCACGCCAGGGCCAAGGGCAGCTTGTCGAGCGCGAGCCCCGGCTGCCCGCGCTCGGGCAGAGCAAGCGGCCACGTGCCACCTCCGTGTAGATCCGGCCAAATTCAACCCCAGCGAAAGAAACAGAACGAAAACCTGCTCATCAAGGAAAGGAAGAGAGGCTCAGGCCGTGTCCTGTGAGGAGACACCCCGGCTAGGAAGCCCTTTCCTGCAGGAAGGGAAGTGTGGAAGTGTTTTCTCCGCAGAGGGAAGCAGGGCCGTCCTCGGGACGCACCGCAGCCGTCTGCAGCGATGTTGACTGAGCAGCTTCACACAATGCAAAGTGTCTGCTAGAGGCTGGTGAGAAGCGCCAGACTTCAAAGCACGCAGCCTCCCCTCTCCAGCCCGGCGCGTTGGCGCGCTAGGTGAGGACGCGTTTGCAGGCTCCGCGTGGGGCCCAGAATAAGCGGCTGGCAAGCCCAGTGCGCCTCCCACCTTGCCTCCCACCTTGCAGGGAAGGCCGGCAGGGCAGGGAAACGCGTGTCCAGTCTGTCCAGTCACAGACGTGGGCGGCCCTTGGCTGTCCTTGGGCAGCGGCCGCGCTGGGCGCACACGCGTGTCAGAGCACCCCGGGGTGCCTCGTGTGGGGCGCTCCGGCCCCGCGGCGCCCATGGGGAGGCTCCGCACGAACAACTGATCGCTCCTGGCACCTGACCCCTCTTGCCCCATTTCTGTCTCCCCTTGGGCTGTGCATTTCCATCAGCAGGGAATGGGGCAGGAGGGGAAAGTGAGCGGCGAGGGGAGCACATCCCCCATTTCGGGGGCTGGATGATGTAAGTTTGGCTCACACGGATGCATAAAGGCACCCCTGAAATGGCCAAATTTGCACAAATTCGCACTCTCTGCTAACCTGGCTGAGCGCTAGGCGGGGGGGAGCCCTCACTAGCTCCCCCCGGACAGCCACAAACACGTGGGGCAGAAACACCCAAAACTGCTCCGGCTGCCACTGCCAGATGCTGCCCACCTACAGCTTAACCGAATTTAGTGCAGCCAGTGAAGAAAATCTGTATCAAATTAAGAAAATGAGTGAGGCTAATGGGAGGCACACACAGGAGCGGGGAGGACAAAGCTGCCCTTGTCTGCGCGCCCGCTGCGCCCCGAGGCGGGCGCCGAGGCAGTGTCAAGGTGCCTGCAGGACACCACATAAATCGCGCGCGACCTGCCTTCACGCCGCAAGCAGGTCTCTCCAGCGGGGCCGAGCAGCGCCGCGCGCAACGGTGTGTTCCGAACGGCTCTCCAGGGACGGCAGCGCGCGCGAGACGTGCGTCGCGAGCGGAGCTCCCTGGAAAGCCCTCGGCAGAAAACGCTGATTCGTCAAAAAAACACCCCGAGTTTTGAGGGGAAGGCGCTAGTATTGGTGAAAGGCTGCATGAGCCCGAGCGGGCGCTTTTTGAGAAGCGAAGCAAGGGGACGTGGGCATCTCCTGGAGCCGAAGCTGGGCAATGTCGGACCGGACTCTGAAGCTGGGCAGCAAGAGGGGCACCACGTGCTGCTCCACGTCCCCAAGAGGCGACCAAGCCCCAGCCGAAAATCTGGGAAGTCTTCAAGGGGAAGATGCCTTTTACCCTGCTTGGACACTAAGAGATGTTAAAGGTTTTGTTTTTATTTTGGAAAAGAAAAAAAAATGGTATCAGCGTCAGACTGGCAGGAGGCAGAATGCAAATTCTGCAGCAAATGCAAATTCTGCAGGAAAGTTTTGGAAAAAAACAGTGCTCAGCGACATGCAGTAGAGAGAGTGAGTTCTGGTGGGCGAGTCTTAGGTAAGAGAGTTACATGTAGGTAGGATCATGCCCTAGAAAACCACTGATGATCAACACAGTCATTTCCTTTGCCTTCCCTTCCCTCCCCCCATATAAACACGAATCACAAAAAGAAAACACTCACTTCAACCAGAGCTCACTTCAACCAAATTTTTCAACCAAAAAGTTGGGCCTTCACATTCCTGAAGAAAATCTGAAATATATTAACTTTCCATCTAAATTTGAAGCACCTCGCAAGACAACAGATTGCATTTTTAAAATTAGATTCTGGTGGGAGGCCCTGGTGACAAATCCGTATTTTTCTCCCGGAGCTGAGCTCATGGCTGTGAGCACCAGAACAATGACTAAAGCCACCGCGAGCCATGACTCTACAGGCATAAACTTCTGCTAGAATCTGCCCGCCAGCAACAGAGATTTTTACAGAACTCACAAGAACCACGGAGAAAAACGTATGAGGCTAATAACTAAGTGCGAGCATATACACTTTATTGTAATTAAAACGTGCTTTTCCAAACAGGCAAGAGAGCGACTCAAATTCCACAATAAGCCTCCGAGTTTCTCAGAAACTCCAACAGCATATTTAATTGTTTTCAAATAAGAACCTCTCAACCAGCCACTTCTCTTTTTGCAAGCCACTCTTGCATATGCTAAAGCATGGGATGGACTCCAAAAAGGCCCTGCAGGCAATTCAAATGAGAGGAGAAGGGAGCAGGAGGAAGGGATGTCATCAGGAGCTGCTTGATAGCAATTCAGATGCCTTTGTATTGCTAAATGGGTGTAAGCACAAACCACATGCAGCCTATCCATTTTTTTCCCCTCCCACGCACCATCACACAAAACAGCAAACTCCTAAAGAAAATATATGGACACACATGTACCTTACAAGGCAATACTGGTATCCAGCGCAACTTTCCCCAAGAGAACTGTGGCATTTAGAGGTATAGAATTGCAAATGATACCAAAATGAACAGTCACTGGGATTGCAGAGTCTGTCAGCACCTGCCACTCAGCAACTCCATTACTCTCTCGTCAGAGTCTATGACTATATGCCAAAAACCTGGGGAGAAAGAGGGGAGAAAAAAAAATCAGACAAAGGATTAGCAGGAACCGATATAAAGGACGACATTTTCTGCCAAGTCCTATTATCATCGCTTACCTAAGAAACATTATTCAGTACAGCATGTAAATGCTGTGTTAAAAATTGATTTATAAAATCTGATGATAGCAGAATAAATGAAAAACTCACTCAAACACTAGGAGCCCAAACTGCAGAAGGCACAGAGTTCCTCTTCCCACCACTTTTTAGAGTAAAAATTCATACAGAAATCAACACGCTACTGCTGGGGACAAGTCGTCTCTCGCAGCACTAGAAAATGTTGGGTCATAAAACGCACTTGTATCTGTTTCTGCAGGGCAGGAGCTGGAAAAGACCACTAAAAATGGTTCCTTCCAGCAAAATATACCTTAATCGCTGCAGTTAGAAGCTCTTTAACATCTGTTGGCAGTGAGGACTCTAAGTAAGTGCTTAGGAAAAGGGCCCGAAATGGAAAGATCTCAGATGCAACTGCTCTACACAGACTACCTAATTTAAGCAAAGGGCAGTAATGTGAGCAGTGACTTCATTAACACTAACCAGGACAAGCCAGATGTGCACAGTGGAAAGACGGTGGCGTTCACTGCGCTCACAGAAGCACAGAAAGCACAAAAGAGGCTGCACCCTCTTACACACCTGAACTGAGGCACAAGGCTGGTGCTAAAGCTACACGCGCGCTTGTCTGTACAAACCCTGGCAGCTTCTTGGTCTGACACTACCGGAAATTTCCAACCCTGCAAGACAGCAAGAACTCATGGTCATTTTGGGTGCTCTGCCCAAACAAGCTCTCCAACTGCAGGATCTCCCCCTTTAAAATGCTGCCAAACACAAGTAGTGAGACCTCAAGGAAAGGCTGCAAACTGAGTTCTGCAAGTTACAATGCATTTCCAAAAGTAGAAAGGAACAGAAACTTTGGATGAGATTACTGATGCCCTTCCTGTTATTAGAGCTATTTGGTGGGGAAACTGTGATCCTCACTTGGCTGAGTCTCAAAAAGAAACAAGAGTCACCAGCTCCTTTTTAAATTAAAAACATTCTCATTTTCTTTCTTCCCCTTTATGTTCCCCTCTCTGTTCCCCACCTTGCCCTCTTCCCTCAAGCTGTTGGTTGAGATCTGAAAAGTAGCTCAGGAGCTGGCAAAAATTAATAAAAACGAAGCTCATTTATATTGAAATGGACTCATTATCATGCCAGCTGCCAATAATTTAGAAGACGGGAATCTTGCTGACAAACAAGGTCCTGGAGGCGAGCGGCTTTCCACCTGCACCCAGCGCCCAGCGGATCACCCCGCACGGAGCTTTCCTCACCTCCAAGAAAAAGCAATTGCGGTCACCTTTTTTTTTCAGCTCCATCTGCTACTGCCACCAAAAACCTGTCCTGAAAGGAAAATCAAAAAACGTGGCCAAGCATTATCAGACTTTCCATCCTGGAGTGGTTTTTGTAATTTAGTCAGAAAAATCTGCTCCAGGCTGAAAGGAACTCTGGTCACTCCAATGAGGGACCAATTACAGTGTCACCCGCCCCGCACGCAGCCTTTGCTCTTCTGACAAAAGTCCTTCTCGCCTCGCACTCCGCCTGCACAGGGAAGTTTAAAAGAAAAGGCTTGTTTGTAAAAAAGGCTGCTTACAACTGGAAATTAGATTATCCAAGCTTTCAGAAAACTCTGGTACATCCAAAGGGCTCCAATATCCTTTTCTGCAGACCGGTGAGCACATGTGGATCCTCCCGAATACAAGCACTTATCGCTTATCCACTCCGTGGGTTCTTCTCTGAGAAGGTTTGTTTGACTTTCCTGAACAAAACCAAGGTGGGCTGTTCAAGAACGTGTTTTTGAGAATTCTTTCAGCTTGCCATTAGCACGCGCTGGAACGTGGCTCGCCCCCACACTCCCATTTCACCTCAAGAGCTCGAGTTTCCGCCGGAGCAGAAACGTCGTGGGTTTGCAGCGCTGCAGAGACGCAGACAAGGGCTGCTTTCCGAGGGACTCCTCCGGCGGGGGGAAAGCCAGGAGCCAAGGGAGCCGAAGCACCAGCCCCAGGCTCGCTCCCCAGCCCGACGCCTTCCCGCACAGGCTGCCTCTGCTCTGGGTGCTGCGGGATCCTTGCTCTCCTGGGGCAGCCTGACGGATGGGGAGACAGCCTACACATGCAGACCCGAGCTGGAAATAACACAGGGGTATTTCTTTAACGGCCACAGAAGAGCACCCTGAAAACCCAGGCCAAGACGTTCCCACCAGGCCTAGCACGCGGCAACTTAAGTTGATTCAAAACTGAGGAAGTTCAGAGCAAACTACTCTGACTGGATTAACTGAATGCATGGTGAGGAAGGAGCATATATTATAGTAGCACCTTGTTATCACATCTGCCCATCTGTGATTCCTGGTACAGCAAGGAGAGGATTGGCTTTCACCTCCTGGGAGGAGACTGCAAGGACAAGAGATTGGTGGGAAAAATCACACACGAGGTTTTTGTTTTGTTTTGTTTTGTTTTTGCTTTCAAACATTTGACATGAACATTAACAGACGAAAAATATGGAAGCTGCAACTTTCTAAAGGCCTCCTTCTTCAAGCAGAATTCCTCCTTTTCCGTTAGCAAAAATTAGCATGCAAGTATATCCTCTGCACAGTGAACATGAAAAGCTGCCCAGAAGAACGACGGCTCTTTCATTGCTATTTTATGTCTTGATTTTATAAAGCATCTTTTTTGTCAGATTCCAAATGCAACCGCAGATGTGAGATCAGTTGGTCATTAACCAAATCTTCATCCAGCTTGCTGAAAGCCTCAGTAAGTCGACCATAAACCATCAGGATGCATATGTCCATATACATAGACAGAATGCAAAGTAATTTCATATCAGAAATATCTAATATTAATCAGTGACTCTGGGCTGAATTCCCCATGCCAGTTCCATGCCACTGAAACGCCAGCGTTCAGTCCTGTCTGCTGGGGTGGAGAATTAGGCCCTTTATTCCTAACTGGAGGCCACATCCTGTTGGCCTGTGTTACACTGAGCACTTATTAATATGAATTGCCACCAAAGAAGTCAACAGCAGCTACCCGGAGAAGAAAGTCCAAGCTCTACCACGCTCCAGCACCCTGGTCTCCTGACAGTTCCGGCTCTTCCCATCCCACACCTCTGGGCTGCCCTCCACAAAACGGGATGCAGTGACACACAGGGAAAAGGATGGATGGGAAGAGCAAGGCTGGTTCCTGCCCGGATCTTGGCTGAGGCAGCTCCCCATGGCAGGGCCAGTGCACGCTCCCCTTCGGAACCATGACCGAGACCTTCCAGCTTCCTCATCCTAGCTGTCATCACGGAAGCTACGTACAGCACCGAGCTCCATGTGAAAACTGGTTGGTTTTTAAACCAGTGAAACGCAGCGATAAATTGGAGGGGGAGAGGTTGCATTTTCTTTAGCACAAATGCCATGGAAACCTTCCGTTTGTGAGGAGCATGAACTTTAAGCCAACTACAGCTAATGCTACCGAAGAGAACAGCTCCTCTCAAAATCAAGAGTCTAACGATCACGATCAACCAGACAGGGCTCGGGCGACCATTCTCCTGGCGTCTGGTCAGCTGCCACAGGCCAGCAGGGCCGGCTCTGCAAAACCCCTTTGCAATCGGCTCACCGAAGTGCTGTGTTGGTGCCTGCCATGGCTGAGAAGGCAGCCAGCCCGAGGGAAAGCCCCCTGCTCAAGCTTTCTATATTTATACAGAAGGATGTGAATAATTAGGTTTGTTTTTCTTTTTTACAAGTATCTCACGTGTTTTGAGTTTTTCTCCCTCCCTTCCCTTTCATTTTTAAGGGTGGGGAAATCCCCCTTTCTTCCCTGTGGGGAAAATGTGCAAGGATTTGCACGTTAAAAGGAAAGGGCAAAGCAGGGAAGGGGATCTCATTTGAGATCAGAAGACAGAAGCAAATCCATGGGAAGCGGCGGGGGGAACTCCCTGGCGCCCGCGGGGCAGGCTGGGGGGAGCCGGGCGCCGGCGCTGCTGCGAGTGAGAGCCCACTCGGCCGTCGGGAGGACTCCAGTGGGAAAGGCAGCCGTAAGGCCCGTGTGAGCACTCGCATGTTACTTAAAAAAGAAGAAAAGCGCTCCCCAAATGCAGCTGAACTAAAACCAGGGTGTGGTCTGTTTATTTACCTTAAGGTTATCCGTTACTGTTACTACACTGAGCTTGAAAGGCGCTTTCTGCCTGTGCCAAACAGGGAACTGCTGATGCACAATGAGGACGGGAGTGCCAAGAACCCAAGTGAAAAAAAAAAAAAAAGAGAGAAGCAGCAGGAAAACAACGTTCAGGAGGGAAGGCAACCTCCAGACGGCTGCTGCGGTGCCCTCTCGGCTTACCTGGCGCCAGGCAGCAGCGGCACCGCGAGGCGGGAGGCAGCGGCAGAGGACGGCAGCGCCTGCAGTGGCCGGGGAACCACTGAATTCAGGATGCGAAGGATAAAAATATCGTGGAAAAAAAAGAAATAATTAGGGCCAGTAATGGGGGGGCGGGGGAATTGGAGAGGAAGTGTTTATCCTCGTTTAAGCACCCAGGTACGTAATCTGATTTTCGAGCAATGCCAAAGACCTCACACAGATCATTAAGATGGTGCCTCAGATATGAGCACAAGTGTCTAATTTTAGATACCTTAACTTAAAAGGCACAGAGGGATTCCAGAGGTCTACAGAAACACCCAGCAAATTAAGCTCAAGTGAACACATGCTCCGAGTGGCTTTCCCATCTTGGTCACATTCTCTCAGATGAGCGACATACAGATGCATTACAAGGCATGTCTTATAATTAGCAGAAAAGATGCAAAAGCAAGATCAACTACTGCAGTGAGGCCAAAAGGGAATTATAAGACGAAACAGTATTAAAGAGGAGGACGCCCTTTTAATTTTACAGCACATGTTGCAAAAGTTTCTGGTACCTGTATCTCTCTCATGAACTCCTAGTTTTAAAGCTGAACCTAG